AAACCACCGGTCCATTGATGGTCACAGGTTTGACTTATTCATAGTATCTTAAGCTTTCCTTACTTCTGTCACCGACTAACCATCCGGTCCATTGATGCTCGTAGGTTTGACTTATCCACAGTATCTTAAGCTTTCCTTACTTCTATAAGCGACTGACCATCGGTCCATTGATGCTCGTAGGTTTGACTTGTTCGTAGTATCTTAAGCTTTCCTTACTTCTATAAGCGACTAACCATCGGTCCATTGATGCTCGTAGGTTTGACTTATTCATAGTATCTTAAGCTTTCCTTACTTCTATAAGCAACTAACCATCGGTCCATTGATGATCGTAGGTTTGACTTATTCATAGTTTCTTAAGCTTTCCTTACTTCTATAAACGGCTAACTATCGGTCCATTGATGCACATAGGTTTCTCTGTAGCCCACCAAGAAGCCATTGAGAGACATGTGCGTGATATGCTACAAAGGACGGAGCCTGAGCTCAAATCCAATGACTCTGACGAGGCATTAGACGCCAGGGACAAACTGCCGTATACCTGTGACCCACTTCTCTTCACAACACCCCATCCCGCTTTGAGTACCGGTATTGACCTCAGGTTATCGGATACCAGGCTTACGGCGCTGAACAAACTAGACAACTCGAAATTTTCCTCTCACAAACGAGCTAGCAACAAAGTGAAATCGGGGTCAAATGAGGCCCTATTTGGAGATATGAATCCACATTTTTCGAAGAAATTGGGTCCGGAATTGGGCTCAAAGTTCCCCATGCTGAGAAGTGGGTACGCAAGTACAGTTTATTTCTTAGACGCAGTGTCTGGGGGAAGGGCCACACTGGTTGCGGCGGTCAGGAAACTCTGTGGCCAGTGTCAAGCAGGTGTCAGAAGTGCAAATGGTGTCAAAGGTGACGGGGTTATCGACGAGAAGACGGTCAACGATGCGTTATCGAGTATGTTTACCGAACTGTTCCGTATAGTCCGTGTCTAGTTTTAGTTCACGTGTGACTATACTGCAAAGACAAGTGTATGTACATGTTGCAGAGCTGCAAAGGGCTAACTGGATGGTCTAATTGTACTTGAAACGTGTGGTTCGTTTGATCGTGTATTTGTACCGAGTCCTTGCTGTCTTGTCGGTTGCCAGTTTAGTATATATATATATGTACCAAAACGTTCAAAGTCGAGTGTGCTCATCCTTCGACCTATTTCTGATTGCAGATGATGAAGAACCCGATGTAGCTCTTATATTTGGACCCGTTCTGTCCCTGGCCGGCTTCCTGCCATGGCACACACGGTTAACGGAGATGATGTAAGTACTTGGTATTCTTCTTTCAGATTCTGTTTCACTTTTGTGATGCTATGTGGTATGTGTAGAATCGCATGCATGCTTACATACGTACACAATTTTTTGTATACACATGTGTGAGTCACGGTGCGGGTAAGCAGGAGGTTTCATTGGGATATTATCTCGCTTACGCTAGGGTCAGGAAGCTGTATGACTCCTAGATACCTTTTATTCTCAATAGTGATCAGAAAAACTTTGTATATATACCTGCATATGTATAAACATATAAATCGACCCAATATAGCAAAGCGTGAATACATCCGAGTAGTAAGAGCGTTCTCGATCCCTGATTACAAGTACACACCACATACGTGTGACAATGACTGCATGCACAACTGTAGGTGAGAAAAACATGCAAACTCATCAAACCTTTCCCCTTTGCAGCTGCATGCGAGACCTGCACAGTACAACGCCCTTTGAATTCCGGAGGGCTATGTTGCGGTTTAGCCAATGCGTCCATCGATACGGAAAATAGAAAAAGCTTTTTCTCGCCGTGTGTCGTATTCCGTCATATGTCAAAATAAGCAAGCGTATAGTGATTGTTACATTAGTGTCAAAATAGTACACAATGGACATGACTCAACACGCACGAACATATTCTTATGTGGTGCCACTTACGCACATGTATGTGTGCTGTATGGACATGGATAGTTACCGACAGAAGGATCTAATCATTTAGAATCGCCGAAAAAATGCAACAGTCGCAGCGTACTCTATGGCCAGATTCAGGAGCCAGGGTACTGTTGGCCTCATGCGTATATTTGTGCGCATGAATATCGAAACATTAGCCGTATGTTATATATACATA